TAAATTTCCAATTTTTTTATTTATCTTTTTTTGCTGGCGTTTTTATGCTCAACTATGGAAAAGGATTACTTGATACGGTGGCTAACTTTATACATTGTAATGATAATAAACATAACTAGTAGCTAGCTGATGTGGTTCATGATGATTTACTGTAGCTATTGACTATTTGTTCACATTAGTTTGAGATGTAAAATGTCAAGCTGCAGCTAGAAATTGTCATGGAAATTTCTTTGAGAATATAGTGAGCATTTATAGTTTCCACGTAATTAAATTCAATATAATTGGCAAATATATGCCTATACTAAGACACAACCCAAACTAAGTGTGTATAAAATTTTACCAGTAGAAAAGCAGCCTTTTCAAATAAAAAATATACATCTAAAACATTGCTATAAAATAATCTTTGTGTATTTAAGGTAATTACTGTATCAATGTGTTTAATATGATTATTAATTTTTTTTTACTCCTTCACTTCATACACAATATACAGGTTAGCTCCCTAAAGACACTAAATGTATAGTGTACAAAGCATTGAGTATCTACATGTTACAGTTATCTAATATTCACCTATTATTGGCTAGTAATTCCTGTTTCACCCTGTACTTAAACTTTTTAAAGAAACATCAGATATTTGTACAAAAGCTAACTTAAAGGGGTAATGATAGCATCGTTTACACTAGACTTATGATGTTTTAGCTTATATAAAATATAGAAGAAACAAACTGACTTTTCAATACCCCCACAATCTTTGCAGTACCTTATCTAGTATTCTACAAAAGGTTTGGGTGCAATATACCAAGCCGTTTTTGTTGTAGACTGACAAAAGAATAATAATAAGAAGAAAAATTACAAACAGGGCATTTTGAGCAGATTTTCTTTTCCTTGTAAATCTAATATGTGTAATTTTGTACATTTTTATACATGTACAGCCTTAGCAGTCAATAGTAAAGACTTTAAAGTGTTGTTTGAACTGAAATTTGCTGTTTAAAGTGCTTTATGCAAAAATGTTCTAAAAGGATTTTCTGCAATTCTTTGAGATCCCTATTATGAACCACTGTTGTAGTTCATAATAGATACTTATTTTAAGCTGGTATCCTTGGAAATTTAGCACTTTTAACTACTCAAATTAAAACTAAAATAGCTTTTGTTTTAAACAACTCAGTCTTGTATGTGATGTAACGGGAATCTTATATTTTTCTTCATAAAAACTCGTGTCTAAAATGATCTGTAACCATAATATAACCAGAAATTTATATTAATTCAATTTGTTGAAGAACCTAAACACATCATTCTAAGATTACTACCTGATAGTAAGAATCCTCCCAAACACGGTCTAAATTTGGACGTTGTCCATCAGTGAAACGGCACACAACTGCCTTCTCTAGGGCATCCCATCGAGTGAGAGAATCATAACACTACACCATAAAATGTTAGATTTAACACAGTTGTACATATGACAGATTAACCATGAAACATTCTGTGAAGAACAGTTGTTTCTAAGTTTTTCAGGTAGGACAATTTACTATAATCCATTTCTTTATCAATATACAAAGTATTTATTCAAGGCTATTATGGCTGAAATAACTGAATAGCAAGCATATGGAACTGTCTTACATTTTAATTTTACCAATTCAATTCAAGCTGATACAAAAGTTCAGTTGTATATGTATTAAAATAATAAAAATGGTGAAAATTTAAAGTAACATTTCACTGAAACCACCATGAAACTAATATCAACTCAAATTGTTTTTCTGTGTAAAAAAACAAATCTAAAGAATTTGTAGCCAAAGTTAACAATTTTCGATATTTACCTTAAGTATGGCATCATCCCAAAGATCCATTTCTGCTTGTTCTGGCTCTTTGTCAGGCCACACGGTTTTCTCATACAACTAAATAATGTACAAAGATTCACAGAGAGGTTCTATATATGAAGTTTTCAAACTTTACAGGTAATTTTAAATGTTTTTCACAACAAAGCAAGCTGGATCATCAAACAGAGAATACGAAGCCTGTGTTAATTAGGATGACACAAGAGTTTTAGCATTTACATGAATATGTAATAGTTCACATACATTCAAAAGAAAATACCTTAATTTCATTTCCTAATTATTCTAATAGGCAATAAGAGAAATTGCTTAGCTTTAATATTCTTGCAAGTTGTTTTCTGTGAAGGGTAACTAAACAGATTTTAATATTTCACAGTAAAATAAAGAAATTCAACTAAAGCAATACCAGTTTTTTAACTGTCTATATAAAAAATTCTGAAGTGCTTATTGTTTAATACCTACTTTTCTGAATACATTTATAGATCACAACACTTTTCAGGCTGTTTACACTACAGTAAAAACTTACAAACTGTAGTGTCTTAAGACATGCCATAAATTGGCTAACTGAAGAATCTAATAATTCAAACTCCTTTTAGGCAGGGCTTTAAACCTTGAGAGGTAAAGGAGGCAAAAATTGAGATTAGAATTCATATAAGTAGGAACAGTTTTAATTTTGTTGGCTAGAGGATGAAAGAATGCATAACCATATAGCATGAATGACTATTAAAGTGTCTTACTAGAATTGTATCTTATGCTTTTAACTCAGTTATCATTAAAGACAGCTCATTTTTTCCCTTTATACTGAGTTTAAAATTCCATGATTTTCTGCCATGGTAACGTCTTTTGGGTCATTACAAACATTTATCAGACACTATAAACAATTTACTTCCTTCTATTAATTCTTATCTACGCATTAAGAATTATTAGCATATCCCTAAAGATAATTTGTAGTTTATTTTGATTCAAAAATGTTTACAGCTTTAAATATAACTTTTTAAAATACATTCTGATTATAAACTTCACAAAGAAACATTTTTTGTAACTTTATCAGTGCAACTTAATTTGAAATTTTACTGAAATTATCTTAACTACTTTCAGAATTTTAGAACTCTTATTTTCTAGAGAATAACAGCATTGTTTAATCAAATTATAGAAGATCAGAGTATAACCATTCCTGTTGATAACTTTCCAGAAAGATAAAGTACAGTCAGAGGGAATATTCTTATTTACAAAAACAAACAAAGGTACTCCTAGAAACTATTATTGATTTTGTAAAAGTAAATAAATAAATTTATGGTGTGTTTTGTCATAACACATTCTTAACAGGTACACAGCTAACTAGATACATGTACTACTCTTCAGAAAACAAGTTTCCTGTGCAATATTCATATTCAAATATGTAAGTATCATATTTAACATTATCAGGTAAAGACAGTTTTGAAAAATTAATATTTGTGATCTTATTCATGAGTAACAAATTGATTCAATCTTTCAACAAACTAAACAATTCATTACTACAGTAATTTGTATTTCTAACTGATAAAAAATAAAACTCATTATTTATAAAAATGGGTTTGAAGATACATTTAATAATAAAAATGAAGAAACGTTGTGATATGCCTACCTACCATAACATAGCAGTTAGAGACTCAAAACTTTAATATCTTCTACACTAATTTTGCTTTCTTGGTTTAAATATACTTACAAGTTTCTTCTCAAAAACACTAAATTTCAACATCAAATCAAAAATGTAGAAAACAAGTTTTAATAAATAAGTGGTAGTTTAAAGTTACTTTACCTGAATATAAAGTTGTAAGGCTTTAGTGTAATCACCTCTTGCCTCAAACTCAAGTGCCTGGATGCTTTCTGTCTGTGTATTTACAGAGCTACTGAAGATGCCTCTAACTACATCATAGTTATTTAGAGACTTGTACAACCTGTAACAATATTTCATTCCAATATAGACTGATGCAAGTCATTTTCATTGATTATCTCACAAGACTTCAACTTTATATATATCTACACACACACAATGTTTGTTATTGATGTTTAACTATGATATAAACATTCCATTCAATTAATTTTCCTCAACATAGTAATAATAATAATAATTTGGATCTGCACCACCAATAAATATAAATTTCAAATTGTAAGTACTTAATAATAATTTAGTTCTCTTTAATAAACTTTTTGTTAAAAAAAAAGTACCATTTGTAATTAATCACCTAGCACAACATTACTAAATTTTTGCCATTATAAGTTATCAAAAAATTATTTATTTATTTATCTGAACTATAAATAGTTTTAATTATTTGGAATCAATACAACAATCAAGTTCTCCAATTAGCATTGTGAGGAAAAGTATAAAAGGTTGTAAAAAATTATCACTTTAAGCAATAACATGAAAACAATCTCACTCAGCAAGTCTTATCCACAAAGATGTAGCTGGACTATTGCTTCGATTCTCTCTACGTGCTTTTTTACTCTGATGTTCTGTTTCTTCCGTGGTTGATTTTATCAAAATCTCTTCCAACAATAAAATACCTACAACAAGTATGAAAGTACACAAATAAATTACATTCCAGAAATTATCAATGATGGAAAATCTTTTCCTTTATCATGATAAAAAATAAATCAACAAATAATAAATTCTGAAGAGGTGTATACTAAATAAATAAAATATTCCAATCACAATCTTCTTGACATAGAAACAACATTAGTTTTGGTAGCAACACAAGGATACAGCATATAGCTATAGTTAATAATTGAAGAGTAGCATTAGCTCAGAAACAAATTTTTGTTAAATTTTTTTGTCTTTTTATTAGATGTCACTGATCCAAGTGTCTACCAGTACGAGACACCATAGAAAACTTGTGGTACAACTTGTATGTTGAAATTTTGTATTTGTTTTAATTCTTGTTATTATAGTTTCTTAATGTTTTACTGCTGTTGAAGTAGATCTATATGGCTTTTGTAAAATAAACAGAATAACAAAGAACTTGGGATAATTTATGCTTGGATGTCTGGACCATCATTGTATATTATCATATGTGTCCTAATGCAACCATCATTGTATATTATCATATGTGTCCTAATGCAACCATCATTGTTACTTTTGTATATTATTACATGTCCTAATGCAACCATCATTGTATATTATTATGTGTCCTAATGCAACCATCATTGTATATTATTATGTGTCCTAATGCAACCATCATTGTATATTATTATGTGTTCTAATGCAACCATCATTGTATATTATTATGTGTCCTAATGCAACCATCATTGTATATTATTATGTCCTAATGCAACCATCATTGTATATTATTATGTGTCCTAATGCAACCATCGTTGTATATTATTATGTGTCCTAATGCAACCATCATTGTATATTATTATGTGTCCTAATGCAACCATCATTGTATATTATTATTTGTCCTAATGCAACCATCATTGTATATTATTATGTGTCCTAATGCAACCATCATTGTATATTATTATGTGTCCTAATGCAACCATCGTTGTATATTATCTAGTGTTTCTGATTATTCCAATAAAACCCATAACAGAACTAGTTTATGTATGAAATGTTAAAAATTATGAAATTTAGGATTTTTGATGATAAAGTTTCAAAAGGAATGTACTGTACATAATAACTTACCAAGATTTTGTTGTCCACTTGCTTGGGAAACTTTACTGACCTCTTCAGGTTCTAATGGCAGATGTTGAACACTGTGGTAACAAACTTCCTATGGGGAAAACAAAAACTCAGACTTTATCTCCATAACAGACAACTATATTAAAGCAAATCAATGTCACAAAAAGTATTTTCTCTTAATCAGATATGGGGTAAAATTATCAACTATAAATATAACATATGTTTATATACTAAGCCTAACATATAGCATATATTTACATACTAAGCCTAACAAGAAAAAGACATTTTACTTTTCTGAAGAATGTAGTAGATAATTCTTATTTAAATAACTTAAAAAACAATCAAGTTCTGAAATTAGAGAGACAAAGCTGAACTCATCATCTGATAAAGACAAAGGCTAATTTCAAAATTCCTAGTCAGCTAAGACAAAAAGAAACATTTTCACAGTAATAACATCAACAAAAACATTTAAACATTATAAAACTAAAACAATTTGTTAATGTTTCTCTTAATCTGTGAATGAGTGCAAAGTCTTTTTGTGCATAATTTTAGACAGGTATGACATGACTTTCAGAGAAGTGTAACTTGTATATTTTTAAACCTACAAATTTTTCAACTTTCACAAGCAAATTATTAGAAAAAGATAAATAAGTTTGTTTGTTTAAAATAAAAATCAGTAATGTAAATATAAGTACGTACATCTCCAAGTAGAATAAATTTAACAATTCCTTCATTCTAACATACACTACAGGCAATAACAATTAAACCAAACCAAACCTAAGTATATTTGTTCACAATGTTTAAAACATATATACTTATTCTCACAAATTCAAGAGTTTAGAAATATGTTTTTGTCTTATACAGAGGAAATAGCTTAAAGCTCATAAGTATTTTTAACAGCCTGATCAAAAATGGTTTTAGAATAGTGTTACTTACTTACTTAAGTATTTTTAATAGCCTGATCAAAAATGGTTCTTAGAATAGTGTTACTTACTGGATATATAATTTTAAAAGAAAATTCACAAACAAACACCACTTAAATATCTAACTACAACATTTTTTAATTGTGCCACCATGACATTTTCTTCTGAGAGGTAAAAGAAAATGTTAAAAATACTTATGAAACATTTCAAATAAACATCTCGGAAGACAGTTCAGATTTCTTTGGTTTAGAAATATCTACAGTACATTTCATGAATTATTACAATGAAATAAAACAAGTGTATCGATTTTAGGTTTTAACCACTATTATTTAAACAGTCATTTCTACACATTATTTGAACATTTTAATTTGTTTTGGAAACATTTACTGAAGTTCCTAAAATATATTTCATGAAATTCTTACCATTTACATGAAGGCAACACCAAAAAACGAGAGCAACCCATACTTTTGCACATTAACCATATGCTATTTATTTATACTTAACTGAGACATACCAACCATTAAATGTTATTTATATGGTTTAAAACAAAATACAACTTACTTCCACAAATCCTATAAAAGGTGGAAAAAACTGAACTGTCTGTTGGAGAATGTTGTTAAAAACTTGTTTCAATTCATTACAAAGAACAATGTAATCATGGGGATGATTCTCCTCTTCTGATTGACACAGTGCTTTTGCTACAGATGTCAGCAAAGTTTTGGCTATATTCTGATCCTTCTACAAAAGTGCAAGATAAAGACTGAATCAAAATTCCAAATGCACCACACCATTTTATTATTTTAATATATATATAGTACAAAAGCCTGTAAAAAATGAGGGGGAAACCATTGGTAAATGATTAACGAAAATTATAGAATTTAACTTAAACGAATTTGTCTGTACCTACAAAATACACCTACTCTTCACTTATTTTATCAGTCTTGAACTAATTCTTTAATCACCAAATTTTAAATAAAAACTACACAGAAAAAATGAAATGTTATCATGAACAAAAGTACATGCACACTCTGAAAGAGACTTAAATAGCACTCTTGAGCCTTTTCACTGTATTATAGGGTCAGGAAGTAGAAAACATAGTGTGGACATTCCGACATAAATTTTCAACTCTTTCGACTGTACAAAGGATAAAAGATATTTGGTAGTAATAAATGTTTATTTTTCTTTATGTTTTAAGGCAAAGTTCATAATATATTTGTTAAAATACCAAAATTATATTTATTATTGAACATTTATTCACCACTTAAAACTTTTTAAACATTGACTCTATAAAGTTAGTAACAGTAAACTTATTTGTAGTGTAAAACAATCCATTATGTGATAAAAATCTAACAAAATACAGCAAAATAGTGAAATTGTTTTATATTCAAAGTCCTTACATAATAATCAAGAATTGTCTATGCAGTTATTAAAAATAAACTAGCTCAAATAAACAGATAAATCTTCATAAAAATAAACACAAAAAAGATTAAATTAAGGATAAAAAACATATCTCTTTTCTTTGTCTTTACCCCACTTTTTTCTATTTTTATTTTGATCTTACATAATTTTAAAAATTATTCAGTTTAATATTGTAATATAGCAGCAAAACTGACTTTTCTAGCATGAAAACTATGAACTTACTTCTATTAAATAAACACCAATTTAATGCTGAATATCATGTTTCTTTGCAATATCTAAAAACATTCATACGTTTTAAACCTCACTGCCATCTATATAATTCTGAACATAAAATAATTTTTTCACAATTCTAGAGCATACAAGTTTTTTGGCAATTTAACATTTTGGTTTTCCTCGAAGGATCTTCAACATAATTAAAATACAGGGGCACTCCTAGCCTATTAATGGTAAAGGGGCTGAGGTGGGCTTGATAAAAACTTGAAGAGTTGCACTCTACTTCTTGTGAACACACATGTTGTACTATTTAGGAACTGAACCAGCTTTAACAGTAAGCATTGTTCACTGGGAGCAGGGGCTACAGAGAAGGCTAAGGCACATTTTGAGGAAGCTTCAGCCCCAGCTGTCCCTGATAAAATACAAATACTTTTAATTTTATTTTATGTCGGTTTTTTTTCTTTCTAGTTATATAATCAATAAAATGGCACTCAGGGAATGCTACAAAAAAAAATTATCCTCTTATTTTTTAATGGCTTATTTGCTAAATTTTTCACAGTTGTTATTAATGTGAGATATTATACTGCTTGAACAAGTACATATTTTACATTGGAGTGGAAATTATTCATTAGAAAGCTTTCAGTCTTTATCCAATGACAGTCATCAGACTGGTTGAATTACTTTAAATATAATATCATGTTATTTTGTGTTACTTCATAAAAAACCGATGGTTTTACTCTGCAGTTTTAGAAAAGAACTGTATTAAAAATTCAAAGTTTACAAACATTTTGTGTAATTTTTAAGAATCTAGTTATGTATATATATATGTATTACAATAAAATTCAATAAACCTGTGCTAAAGCTTGAAGTGGAGCAATGATTGAAGAATAGTTTATTTCTATGTCTGGAAAGTCTCCAATTCGATATCGACGGTACATGGTAACTTGAGCTTCTCTTCTAGACCTCTGCTCTTTCAGTAGATCCTAAATAAACAAAGAAACCTGATAAACAAGAACCCAAGAATATTTATATCCTACCTTCACACACGCAACTCTGGATCTTTCATCCTGATCATATATAGATATTCTAGTCAAACAGTGAGTAATACAGTTCAGTGGGAGAACACCTAATACAGGTTTCAAACAAAATTTCTCTGTCTTGTTTGTCTAACTTTTCATTATTCAAAACATTTTATTATATTTTTAGCAATTAATTTTGTCTGTACTAAAAAACAAAAGAACAAGTAGTAAAGTTTCCAGATGTTTTGGAGCAAAGCTACTCAATGGGTTATATATGCTCTGCTCATCAATGCTCTTATACGACAGGATTTTAGTTTTGAAAGAAGAGGGATATGATATGTTGATGAGATACCATTTAAGACCCAGAATATTAAAAAAATATATGTGTACTTATTCTATCTTCCAGCTAAACCACAACCATAATGGAAGAAATATGTTTTTAACTTTCCATAACATTTATGAAAAGTTTTACTGCAAGTATGATATTTTGTTGCCTTAACCTCAAAGTGTTCATAAAAGAAGAGCAAAAAATTAACCCTCTTGCTACAGGAAGATCAAAGCTTGTATGTCACAACTTTTTAGAGTTACATTCTAAAGTTAATCAAAACCTCAAAGTGTTCATAAAAGAAGAGCAAAAAATTAACCCTCTTGCTACAGGAATATCAAAGCTTGTATGTCGCGACTTTTTAGAGAGTTACATTCAAAAGTTAATCAAACTATTTTATTATCATTGTATATGAATAACCTTAGCATCAAAATATATTTAATATTATAAGTTTTAAGATCTTAATTTTATAAAGAAATGTTTAAAAAATATCTCCCCTAGTATGAGAATTGTGACATTAGTTGTCTAGGTTCTCCCTCTTCTCTAATTTATTCATCACCCCTCTGAGAAGTAGGTAATTCAACATATATTACTTATTATAATATAGATATTACAAAGGCTAAGTATAATTTTTTATAGTCTTCATTCTTATTTGTTTATGGAGTCATAAACTAAAAAATCAGATCCCCTTGTCATAAACACCTGTCACATCCTCTCTTTTACAAATTATCAATAGTTCTCTCTGATGTTTTATACTATATTGTTTATAACCAATAGAAATCCAAAGTTTAAATCTATCAAATGATGTATTACATTATACTGTTTCTGTAGTACTGTCTGTTTCATCTTCAGTTTGAAAGTTTCTATCGAGGTGGCCATATTGACAAGTTTAAGATAAGTTAGAAAGCCAGATAAATTATGATAGTTATAGGACATTGTTTGTTTTGTGCATGTTATTATTCTGTGTCCTTAGGTGCATTAGTTAAGTAAATAAAAACTGTTTAGTGTACTAATATCAGTAATATAAAAAAGTAGACTTAAATTTCATTAGCAACTGACAGCAAAAAACAAGGTCTGAGATAAGTGATATATTTCTTGTTTTTGATGTATATTCTTTTATTATTATCATAAAAGTAACTAAAATGTAAAAATTAGAAACTCATTAGGTTAGATCAGGTAAGATAATTAAAAAAAACAACTCTTCATTAGGAACGCTCAACAAGATACACATTTGCCAAGTAATTTACAGCTTGTGGTACGATTAGTAGTTAGACAGGTCAAAGGGCAATAAAAAGAATAAAATTAAGTATAAACAGATCTCTACTGTTATGAGTGCCTTAAGCCATTTAGGATAAACATTTGTAGCTTTCTGTTATAATTTGCAGTCATTCTAGAAAAAAAAAATGGTAATTAAGAAACCCAATTTGTATTTTTTTATTGTGTTTACAAGGTTGGCCAAATCGAGTGAAGGTGTAGAGTGAGTGTGTGTGTTGTGATATAGCAAAGCCACATTGGGCTACCTGCTGTTTCCACTGAGGGGGAATCAAACACGTGATTTTAGCACCGTAAATCCGAGGACCAACCACCATCCCACCAGGGGACGACTGTGTATAGAGTTAAAATAGAGTTAGGAGATTTTAGAGATAACACAAATGAAATATGACAATTTTCAGAGGTAATCAAATATCTTAACATGAAAATCACTTTGCACTGGGAGCAGTCAAAAATCTGACTCCAAACATTCGCAGACAATTTTTTAGTAAAAATACTTATTTAAAAAAAACTGATTTTCTGTGTACAACAAACGATTTGTAATGTTTACTGAAAGCTTGCTAAATTTCGTGAAGAAATACAAAACATATTAAAAGTTATAGTAGGAAACTGATGGTTACTTTGGGGTTGAAAAGGTCAGTTACATTGACCGAGCCCATAGCAAGAGGGTTAAAACTGGTTGGTACTAAATATGGTTTTATTTACATAATTCGTCTGGTCTATAAAACATGTGATTGACACCATCTTCCAACTTTAAACTTTATTTATTTTATTTTAAACCAACATAATGCTTCACTATCACGTATATGCATTGTTAAGCAATGTTGACAAATCGAGGGTTTCACTATTACCCCAAAAAAACAAATATCTAATATACTAGAGTGCCCGTAGTTTAATAGTAGCATGAAAATGGAAAAACAAATATAGAGCCCTTGATCTGTACAAAAATGGAACACATTGATAAAAATGTCAAATAATTTCAAATTAAGAATGCTTTTAAAATACCTTTTTGTATCATTAGAAAACAACTACACCATATGAAAAAAAAAACAATACTAGTAAAATATCATTGAAATAGTTCATGAAATTCACTTGAAAACTTATTTTTATTGCTCTTTGGCCCAAGAAGACACTTCCATGTTTTTATTAATAATGTTTAAAAACTATTCCACCATTCCGTTAAAGTCATATCAGTAATATTTTTTTACTACTATTCAAATATTTGTGCAGCTTTCTTTCCACTTGAATTATCATAAGATTTTTGTAAACCCAAGTTAACTTAACTTACAAGTATGCACACCTATAAAAAATAAAGTAACCTACATCTCTCATATTCTTGAGCCTTGCAGCCCTTTTAACAAATACAAGTCGATGCTTTTCTTGATCTTTTACAAAACGTCTTTTCAGTCTTAAGATGTCTGAAACTGAACTCGAATCTGTTACATAAAAAAACAAGATAAAGAAAAAATACAACCAGCTACAAAAATTTTGCACCTTCAGTTTCTTTTTTTTTCTGAAGTACAAAAACAAATTAAAAGCTGAAAAATCGATATATATTACTTTAAATATTTTGTTTTGTTTATCAATGGAAATAATTGTATGTATTTTATTTTACTGAAAATTTTTTTCTGTATTTTAAAATGAAAAACTGATCAGCAAAAACTCTTAAATCTAGGGCTCTTAATTTTGGAAATTTATTGTTATAATGATAACAGAGGCATATTTTTGGTTTGTTCCATCAAAACAATTGCTCATAGATAATGACAAGAACATAAAAGTAAAGTAAATAATAATAAAAAACAACAAATGTTGTCCTACCTGATGTACTATCAACTTCATCTGAAACAGCTTTTAAACTTCTACCACCTTTTGTCTTTGGACTAGAAGCAGGTGCTTTTGTTTTTCTTCCGATAGTAAAAAGCAGAGAAGAACCACTTGATCCCATACTGGCATCCATTGCTTCTAGTGATCCCCACTGTTCCATGGTGTCAATCGAGCTTTGAGTCAGCCAATTATAAGTCTTTGGTTTTGCCCCTGACATTAAATGTTACATAAAATAAAAAAATAAAATGAAAAAAAGAGAGAAATTTGTACAAAAAAATTTAAACTATATTTTTATAATTTGTGTCTCACAACAAATTCAATTTATATATCATTCAAGCCCAACTGAAAAGTTTACACATACAAACTATAAATTCTCGCTTCATTTCAAACATTTTAACATGAAGAAAGTTTTGAAGTTAACTAGAAATAGCTTTACAATTATATAAAAAAAACAACAAAAAATGTGAGCTCAGTATAAAAAGTGGAAATTAGATCTTTCCTTTCCATAAATCGTTTGTTTGCCTACGTGATATCCTAGGATACAATTTCCTTTGAAATATTCTAAATATGTGTATATCCAGCTAAAAAGTGCATTAAATTAAACATTCTTTCATTAGCAGAATACACTGGATTTGCTAATGTATTTAAATTTCTAATCAAATGCAATTAAATGTACTAATTCTTCTAAATTATGCAAAGATTGTTATTAATTACATTCATTAGTGTTTTTGGTAGTTAATAACTGTAAATTTTATAGGTTAGAAATGCTATGCTCAATAACCAAGAGGTGGAGAAGAAACTGTTTTACTAACTGTACAGAAGTTAAGGCACAAAATATGTTTTTGTGGAGATTAAACTTACACACATAGTTTTGTTATCTCTCATATGTAGTATAAAGATGTATTATGTAACATGTTAGCGTACAATGGATAACAAATTTTGTATCATGACCGGCTGAAACTGATTGTTCAAACCTTTAGGCTAGTACTACAAGTCTTCAGTGTGTACAAATGAGAAAGTGTAAAACTTTTTTAAGCTGTTAAACTTAATTCAGCAACTTATATTACATTAGTATACACTAATAGTCACCAGGATCCATGGTAGCCGTAAACTGTAGATTTGCCTGAGTTGCACGAAGATGCTGTCCACCAGACGTGCCGTGTGTATTACTAGATGTTTCTGTCTGAAGACTTCCTAAAGTACCATCCGGCAACAGCGTTTCTGCAAACATGGGTGTCATTGCAGAATGACGTTGCCTCCAAGAGGATGAAACGTTATAAACCTGTGATAACATCAAACTCTCAATGTAAAATTGTGAAAAGAAAAGAAAAAAAGAGTAAGATAAACTTAAAGACAGAACTGTTGAACCAGGGGGGAAATCTTCTGAAATTTTAACACATTTCTTTGGGCATGAAACTTTTGAAACGTTTCTAACAATCTGAGTATAATAAAAAGGCAGTATACAACCTGTTACATCACATCCCTGGACATCATGAGTTTTTAATCTTTTTATTATTTTATTTATTATTTCCAAGGATATTCTTCCGAGTGCCCTAAATGTGGAGATTATTATTCCCCAAGTTCTCCATAAAAGCTACGACACACCCGGAGGTGCACCAAATATGAGCTTACGGGATACCTGGGGCATGGTCTAAAAGATCACATGTATAAAATGAAATTCAAATGCTGATAATCATGTGTATATACTTAAGGAAAAATGTTCCAAAATCTATTGTTTTAGAAACACTGTAAAAAAATATTACAACTTACCTGAAACTGACAGTCTGATAACGGATTCGGAAAAATTTTACGATTGTAATCTGGACTCAGAGATGTTAACTCCATTAACAGAAAAGTTCCATATTCCAGAAATTTATCTTCTGTTGGAGGTGAATACATTTGTTGAAGCAAAGTCAAAAATCTTTCTTTAGTGGCACTAGGTAGTCGAGAAGGGTTACTCCAAAAATTATTTACCAGAAGCCTGAGTAACATACACATCATCATTATAATGCGTCACCAAACTTAAAAATGCTGAAATAATTTTAATAATTAACACAGAAATGAGGATACATTGTGATATTTTACTGAATAAATTAATAGACACTTTATAAATTATGTATGTGCAAAAAAAGGAAGATACTTCATTAAATTTCACTTGATTAAATTAGCAAACTATAATGCATATGGAAAAATGAAGATACTTTATTAAATGTCACTAAGTTTGAATTATCTAAAAACTACTCTATCAGAAGTTAAAAATAAAGCTGGAACATATTTCAAAATTGTTTAATAATAAGTAAATACAAAATTTCGTATATTAAGTTTATTAACATATGTATATATATATATATATATATATTGAAATGTCCAATAATGTTTCTTTATTTTTAGTTACACAATTGGCTATCTATGCTGTGCTCAAAATGGGTATAGAAACCTGGTTTTTAGTGTTATAAGTCTTCAGGCTAACTACTGAGCCACTGGGGGCAAACCCAATAAAGATCTATAAAAATTTGATTTTGAGATTTTTTTTATAGATAACTTATACATAATATTTTAGCACTGAAAAGAATGAAAGCTGGATTAATGTTATCAAGTAAAAACTATTACCATGTGTTAAACAAAACTAGTTTAAGGATGAAAAAAATAAAGTATTACAAGCAGCTTTGTTGATGCTACCAGGAAAAAAAAATTATTCTCATTTTAAATGCTATACTTTTGGATGGTAAAGGAAACTTACTTACACACAGAACTCTTTAGTCTATGTTATTATTAGTCATATAACATGGAAGAAAAAAACCATCAAAATATTATTCAAATATAATGTGCGACAAATTTCGACAAATGAAATACCAAACACTCATAATTCTACATTGGACAAAGACTTACAGTTTAAAGTTCTAACAGAATGAAGTTGTTAAAACTATATAATGAACTTTCTATTAAACAGCAAACTGACCATTATTTTTATATTTCAATTATTTTATCTCTGATATATAACATTTTTATGCTGTAGAATGTTTTAGGGATCTTCCAGGAAATGTGCTATGTGCTTATGTGCCATGCTATCAGATATTCCTACCATTCATAGACAGTTATATTTATTTTTTACATCATAACATAGTTTTTACATGAAAATTACCAAAAGTGGAAACTGTACTACAGGAAAAAAAAAATTAAAAATCCTCATGATTTAACATGTCTGAATACAGCAGTAATATAAAAGGTTAAGTACAGTGTTATATTACTGAAGCCAGCAGAAATATCCACTTGGTCAAAACATTTTTAACTTTGATGTTATTGAACTGAATAAGCCATACTTAGGTGTATAATTAAAGTAAAAACTAAAATTGAAACTTATGGATCACTCAAATGAAATTTATACCTTAGGGCAATGTTTTGATCAGCAAGTCCTAAAAGTAAAGTCTCCTTAGCTAGTCGAGTAATTTCTTTTTCTTTGGCTCCACTTTTCATGCTGAAAAATATTTTGTGTATTAATGTACAATAACCACATACACAAATAAAAATATAAAATCAATACAACATATTCATTTTCAATAGAAGTTTATTAAAGTCTTAAGCCTACAATTACTGATTCCATATGTATACCAAAGGCATTTTAAACCATTTTATTAAAACTATTTATGCTTTAGGTTCTACAACTTTGGTAATTACGAGTCACACACACATACAAAATGTAAGTAACTAAAAATACAATTAATATTGTAATTGATTCCACTCCATATGGACTCCAAATTAGTAACTTGACGATTAAATCACTTGTGAAAAAAAATCAGATAGAACAAATTTTTGATAAATTTCAAATACCTAATGTGACTAAATGAAACTTTGGTTAAATGTAAAAAAAAAATGTTAAAAAACAAGTTAGCCCTTATTGAATAAGAAAACTCTTCCAATGACTAGATGAAATATGAAACAATTCATGTCCCTACATCCCAGATGTGATGATGATAAGGGCCATCACTTACTGTTTGTTTGTTTGTTTTGAGGGCTATCTGTGCTAGCCATCCCTAATTTAGCAGTGTAAGACTAGAGGGAAGGCAGCTAGTCATCACCACCCACTGCCAACTCTTGGGCTACTTTTTTACCAACGTATAGTGGGATTGACCATCACATTATAATGCTCCCACGGCTGAAAGTGCGGGCATGTTTGGTGTGACGGGGATTCGAGCCCGCGACCCTCAGATTGCGGGTCGAGCGCCCTAACCACCTGGCCATGCCGGGCCATCACTTACTGAGTCTTATGTTTTAAAATGAAATAGCTTATAATGTTTAATAGCTGAAATAGAAAATGCATTGTTTTAGATGAAAAACCATGAACTAAAAGAAGCATCTAATATCATGCAGTGACAAAGTATCAGCTCACTTAAAGGAAAAACAAAGTAGTAACAGACTCTTGCCTGTGAGTGATGCAACTAATTTATACAAAGAAATGGAAAAAGTTGTGATTGTACAGTCTTAATACTGGGAGAGCTGTTTTTCAGCAGCACTGAAATAATAAATCTATAAAAAATAACTTAGAATTTTATTCAGAGACCGGAATCTACAAGGTAACTATAAAAGAAATATCCTGAAGTGGTCACTTTCTTATCAGTTTTATAAATATACCTTTAACCACAACTAACAGTCTCTTGGTGCAATTAAGATGGATGTCTATAAATTAATTTTGATAATAAAAGACAATAAGTTCAAACACCTATGTCCCCCCTTGACTCGTGATCTTCAAAAGTAAATCATGTCTAGAATTTTGTATTTAATACCCGTTGTGTAAGTTTGGTTAAAATTCATCCATACAGTACTGAAATATCCTGTCTACAAGACTGGGAAGTTTGGATTAACAGATGGACAGGGGCAAGCAGTGGGAGCTTGTTTGTTTGTAATTAAGCACAAAGCTACACAATGGGCTATCTGTGCTATGGCCACCACGCGTATCGTAACCCGGATTCTAGCGTTGTAAGTCCGCAGTTGTGATTGTACAGTCTTAATACTGGGAGAGCTGTTTTTCAGCAGCACTGAAATGGTAAATCTATAAAAAATAACTTAGAATTTTATTCAGAGATCGGAATCTACAAGGTAACTATAAAAGAAATATCCTGAAGTGGTCACTTTCTTATCAGTTTTATAAATATACCTTTAACCACAACTAACAGTCTCTTGGTGCAATTAAGATGGATGTCTATAAATTAATTTTGATAATAAAAGACAATAAGTTCAAACACCTATGTCCCCCCCTTGACTCGTGATCTTCAAAAGTAAATCATGTCTAGAATTTTGTATTTAATACCCGTTGTGTAAGTTTGGTTAAAATTCATCCATACAGTATTGAAATATCCTGTCTACAAGACTGGGAAGTTTGGATTAACAGATGGACAGGGGCAAGCAGTGGGAGCTTGTTTGTTTGTAATTAAGCACAAAGCTACATAATGGGCTATCTGTGCTATGGCCACCACGAGTATCGTAACCCGGATTCTAGCGTTGTAAGTCCGCAGACATACCGCCGTGCCACTGGGGGGCACAGTGGGAGCACAATTGACAAATGAAAGCCACACTGAAAATCCAGGTAGCAGAGATACTGTGAAACCTGAGCAATAATATCACAATTCTTTTCCTATCTGATGTGATGATGTAACATATCTCATAACAATACCTTCTGAATTTTCAGTGGAAATGTACAACGTAGACAGTGCTGTAAACAAACTGATAAAAGAAAGTGGTAAAAAAAAAAACGATTAAGAAACAAGTCTCAGTTTATACTTCTCTTAAAACTCTATGTTACCTAATTGGTAACCACCTGGCCATTGAGCACCCTAACCACCTGGCCATGCCAGGGCCCAGTATATAAGTATACAAATCTCTAAGCAAACAATTCACTAAATTAAAACATATATATCTTGGGTTATCTGTGTTGTGCCCACCATGGGTATTGAAACCTGGTTTTTACCATTGAAAGTAAACAGGCATACTGCTGAGCCACTGGGAGGCCTGAATAAGACTTCCATATATAAAAATTACAAATTACTTCAATGTAACATATTATAGACAATATTTTCACAAACCTAAAGTTAGCATAAACATCCATAAGAATCTGGTACATAACTTCTCGAATCAGTGGGTTTTGCTGAGACTGAAGTTTAATGATCATGGGAAGCACCTCTAGAAGATTGTCTGATGTCAGCTGAGGGAGAAGGCCTTTAATGGCCTGCAGGGAAAATTTCTTGACTGATTCATCTCTGAAACATGATTACATTAACAATTAGGAATAACAATTAATCTAGGTTTTTTTATAAATCCACAATCTTAGCTCTATTTGATACAACATTCAAAGATATTGTTACTAAACAAACTACAAACCATTTAGAAGAGATTAAACCATTTACATGCTGAAATAGAGATTGGATCATTTACACATATTCTTCTACTATAAAAAAAAATACAGAATTCATTTTTCTCCCCACCTATACAGGCACAGCACAATCAGATGAAATAATGATTTAAAAATTTGGTAGGTAAGTGTACTTTAGTTGTAAAATAATAAAAACAATTATCACATGCATCAATTATTTTTAGGGTAAAAATACATGTAAAGTTATAGTATATATGCAGAAAAAAAAGCTAATTCTAGAATGACTTTTTCAGTGTCTTTTCTTCAACAATTCAATGTAATATTAACACATTAGAAAAGTCTTACAGATAACTACTGATTTAGTGATAAGGTGTTCTCAGTACCTGGTCTCATGCAGAACAAAAATATTCCACATATTTTCTTACTTAAAGTTAGTTGTTTTTCTCTTGCTAACTAACAAGAAGTGTCACAAATAATATCTGCATTAGTTAAATAAATAACGCGTTGATGACAATTATACTTCTCGAGATAAACATCTACTAAATTTCATAAAAACATCCATATTGTGAAAATATGTCGTTTTAAAACACAGTTATTCTTTTATTTCATGAAATCTAGTTTGCAATAGAACAGAATAGCCTTAAAAGAACTATCATACATAGTTGAGCCTCATTTTTGTAAAGTGCATGGTTTCCATTATATAAATGTGAACCAGCAAGTCTTCATTATGTAAACCAACTAATTTATTTGTGATATACTGTTATTTATGTTGAACTTTTGGCTCTAAATACATAAATTTATTGTCTTTCCACATGTTTAGAAATTACAAACTGAATAATAATAAGTGAGTATACGAGAAAAAATTCCACAAACCTACAAAATCATCTACTAAAATTTTAGCAATTTTTTCAAGTTTTCACCCATATTCATAGGCCATCTTCAAGCAAAAACACAATATATGATTACCTATTAGCTCAAAGCTTAAAATACTAGAAATAATTAGAAAGAGGATCAACTTATATTCGGAATGATGAGCAGATGTTTACTATAATGCATTTGTTGCGCTGTTTAAAATTTAAATATTCTAATACAGATGTGGGAATAGCTAACAGTCGGAAGGCCTACACAAATCTATCTGTTTGTTTGAATGAATACTAGGCTAGGCCTGACTAGTGTGTTTCAAATGATTCCACTACAATTACTGATGGTGATACACCTACAAATGACTGGAATTTTTAACATCATCTTTCATCAATCAGTAACCCAAACCCAAAATTAATATAATTAATCATTCTTCTCACCATTACTGAAAATATGAGTTTTGAGGTAAGATTCTGTTGTTGTTAATAAACTGCTGTCTTTGTCAGAAAATGATTGCATATCACCAAAACTTGAACGAACTGCTAAGTTTTTAGATCTCAGAATACAAAAACTACAGTGTCAAAAATATTTGAATCACTTAAACAATGCCAAAGATATTAATAACCTGTGGGTTATCATCATCAAAAGGCCTTTGGTTTTGAGTTCAGTAAAACCTCCTTGAATATACTCAACACGAGAAGCCACGACTTCCATGATTAACGTTCTGAAGTTTCCATGTACTTTAGGTAGCAGGAACAATAACTTCTGTAAAAACCTGAAACATATCTTAACATGTAGTCCATAAATAAGACAAAACATTATTTTATAAGCAACAACAACAATTTATGATGTTATAAAATATTTTTATTATTAACAGAATTTTACTGTAAAAATATAATAACTGCTTCATATTTTGTTCTATTTGAATGCTTTTTATCTTGTAATAGTAAGGAATAAAAGGAAGACACGTGGTCCCTCCTTTTCCTATGCAATTGATACAACATTAATTATTATCTGAAACAAACAAACTTACCAAAACATCATACCATGTTATATGACTAGTATTAATTTCCTTTACAATAACTCAGCCTGTCAATAAACCTAAATGGTGGTTTTTTCTCATCTCACTGTACAGAATAATTGTCACAAAAATTATCTGTATTACGAGGTCACACTGTATTTCAAACATTAAAGATTAGAAAATTGAAATCATAGTGCACTGTCTGTCTGTCATTTATTCTTAAATAAAAAGGAAACAGATAAAACAAGTGGATCTATGACAAAAATATAATTCATGTTCTTTTACCAGAAAATTATGTAGGAATGAAAACAGAAAATGAAACTCTTAGCTGATCCTGAGACTCAGCCCATAAAGACCAAGGGTCCAGGAATCTAGGCAACCTCCGGAAGCCAAAAAAAGTTTATGTGCTCTCTAGTACATCCTAATTACCAAAAAAAGATGAATTAACATACCGGTCAGCAATAGGTGGGAAGTGAAGGTGCACTTTGTTCACACAAGTAATAAACTGATCTTGTTTGGTATTACTAAGCTCTGTCACACGTTGTTCTATAGAGTTCTGAAAAGCTTCATCAGGAGATCCTTCTTTCTCCTCCATATACTTCAGAACCATCCCTATCACTTCCGAAGCAGATGCATAAACTTCCTTGTACTTGAATGTTAAGTTTGATGCCAGCAAATTAAGAAACCTGCACATGAGTTCAAGTTTTGTAAGGAACTACACTTTATAATAATCAATGAAAATTATAAGTTTAATAAAATTTTATCTTAATGTTACAGAACTGATCAGAACACATGAAGAGATAAGGAATCTTTAACTTTTGTCAAGAAATATTGATAGAAGTTCAACAAAACTAAACAAATCACCATTCTTTCATTTATATATGCTTAAAGTACAGTTTGGAGCAATAAACACATTTTTATTCCAATAAGCTTGACATACACATATACACAGAAAATCTGAATAACTGATGCTTAAATACATTCATGAATACAACTTATCACTCTGTGAAAAAAGATCTAAAACATTAGCAGCTCATAGTTGTTTTTATATCAAATAACATGTTTAAACCTAACTCATTGAAAGAGCTGTCATCCTTCACTATTTAACCATACAATGATTTATACGAACCTTGCTTTCTCCAATTTTCCACCTGTGTCAGAATAAGGAGAAAGTCCATTAGCTAACACAATTCCTGACAACTGTATACCGACCAGATTTTCTTTCCTTGTAATATCTGTCATGCACATCTGACCACATATAATCCTGAAGAGAAATTTTAAAAATATTCTATTTATTCAATCTTACTTGAAAATGTGTACCTGCTGAAAAATCAACATGATTTCAGAATTAGCAGTTTAGTTGAATACTCATTACTGTGATTTTCAGGTACGTATTTGAAATACACAGTTGTTGGTCTATGTCTCTTGTTTGTATAAAACAATATAAATAGGTTTCTACATTTTGTTGGTCTATGTTTCTTGTTCATATAAAACAATATGAATAGGTTTCTACATTTTGTTGGTCTATGTCTCTTGTTCGTATAAAACAATATAAATAGGTTTCTACATTTTGTTGGTGTATGTCTCTTGTTCGTATAAAACAATACAAATAGGTTTCTACATTTTGTTGGTGTATGTCTCTTGTTCGTATAAAACAATATAAATAGGTTTCTACATTTTGTTGGTCTATGTCTCTTGTTCGTATAAAACAATATAAATAGGTTTCTACATTTTGTTGGTCTATGTCTCTTGTTCGTCATAAAACAATATAAATAGGTTTCTACATTTTGTTGGTCTATGTCTAACATAACCAACTTTACTAGGAAAACTTTTGGAATTGGAATTCCAGTCTCTCCAAAGAGCTAATTCCAAAAACTACATGATTGAAAATGTTAAAAAAGAAGGTAAAGTGGTCAATAAACCAGAATTTGTCTGATGCTTCTGAATCAGTGATAGTCAGACAAGTTAGAAACAGATATAAACTCTCCTCACCGAGAGCTATCATTGACCACAAAATCTTGTTTAAATCAAACATTTAGCCATTTTGAAAATTATCTAAAGCATATCTGAACGTTTACATTTTTACAAATATATACATATATATAAAACAAAAACTGGTCATAAGCTGAAGAATGAAACTGATACATGAAGACAGAACAATGGGGAGAAATGGAATAGAGTGTTATATCATGAATTATAAAATTTATTCCAACAAAATTATTTTTGAACATTTTAATATACACATGATATTCATATTTAAATAATAATTTTAATAAATATAGCCTTTTGAGTGTGGTGTGTGAATAATCTTTACTGCTGATATAATAGTCAAATTTTTAGAACAGTATCCTTCATTTTGTACATTAAGTATTCATTTGGTTTGGTTAAAATGACTATTGGTTTGGTTAAAATGACTAGCACATTTTTGTTTCATCTAGTTAGAGATATTCCTTCATCAATGATTAAGACCTCTCCTGTAATGAATGATGAAGTGGCTAGAAACAAACCTCCTTCTGCAACATATCCAGAAGCCCTATCCTATTTAATGGAACTTTTTGTTCATTTCTCTGTCGTACCTGTCTAAACGTAGTCTGGTACAACATGGTTGACTTGTACACCTTGACAACAAACCTTTTGTGCTAAAGACCTAGTAAAACCTACTAATCCTGCTTTAGATGCCGTGTACACAGTCTGTCCTCTATTCCCTTTCATTTCCAAAATACTCTTAACATTAACAATGCTCCCACACTTATGCTCAAGGTGATTAGGGATCCAATGAGGTCAACATTAATAACTGAGTTTATGTCATCTTGTACTTCTGAACCAACAATCTATCAAGATTTACACTTGCACAGATAACAATTACTCCTAATAACCCCATTGTCTCTTCTATTAATTTGAAACTTTCCTACACCATCTTTCCATCTGCTACATCACACTTATTCTTTTGATATTAACCAAAAATGCAATTTCTTTCTTTAACTCAGTGACAGATTCCTCATGTTTATTTCTTGTTACATGAAAGAATAGCCACACTGAAATCCGAATATATTCTAGAAACAATTGCTCTGCCAATTCTTTTCAAACCACTTACAGAAATCATGATTGCACTGCACCTGTATTGATTGTGTTCATTATTAAATAAAACCACAATCTTAAATGTTTATATTTTACTTTTTTTGCTTGGATGTTTCTTGGACATAAATTTGTTTTCAAAGATTCTACACCTCTGAAGCTACTTTTATATCACAGGCATAAGCAAATAAATAGACTACAAAGACTACAGTGAAGACAGCTAGTAAACAGCACCTATCACAAACTCTTAGGCTACTTTAATCAGATAGCGGTATTTAATTGTCACTCTTATAATGCACCAAAGGTTCTAAAGTGCAGTTTTGCTGAAATGGGACAAGGACCATGAATCCTCAGATTCACCATCTGGCATGCTAACCACAAAGTCATATCATACCCAACAAGTTGGGAACAGGATAAAAATAATCCTAATAAGGATGTTAAACACAGAAACATCAACCACACCAAGTGTCATTCCATGATTTTTTAATCCAAATGATGTACTAATAATATAATACAGTTGATATTTTAAGACAAGATACAATACCACATAGGTTTCAAGAATATTCTGCTGAAAGTTGATTATACTTGGTCAAGGTATATTATTCATATTTTGCTTGTACTTTCAAACATTTTAAGGTAATTTTCAAACAAGTATTGTAGTATAATTAAGAAAATATTTTCAGAAACGTTTACTATAAAACTCTGTTTCTATGTAAGTAATCCTTACCTTGTTGGTACTTCTAGACGAGGTTTCCAACATTCTACCACAGTTTTAATGACTTCCAGATTGTTGCGGAAAATGTCCTTACGTGGATGAGCACATTTTGTCATTAGAAACTCTAAGATACTATTTGCAGCATGTCTTCCAATAACAGTGTCCTGTAACAAAGGTGAATATAGACCAAGGCTACTCAAACATAAATGTGTAAAACTACTGGCAGTTACAAAGAAAACCTGTTATTTCAAATGATTTTGCATCAAAAGGCACATTTGGAATCCTAAAAGTTTTATTCGAAAATGTTTGAACATGATACAGGGTGTTTCAAAAATTCTCACAGAAGGCATTTAATATCAGTTCTGCCATTCTCAATAGTTTATTTTGAAACTGCTGTAAATGTCCGTGGTAAAGTCATACTTACCTTTTTACAGATGAAAATGTCGTAAACACTGAGGGTGCACAACAATGTATTCTAATCATTATAAATAGTATAGTTTGAGCATTACAGTTAACTAGGTATATATTTTTAGTTCTGGTCTATGTAGATAGCTTGCTTTAATCAGAAGTCAATATTAATACCTCTAAGAATTGCTGTAAAATTATATATTATCTTACATCAGATATTGCTGTAAAAGTCAACGATAAAACCATAAATTACCTCAACTCTGATACTTATGGTAAGCATGAGAATCACATTCTATCTTATCACTACTGTTGATACAGCAGAAAAGAGCTTATTTTACCTCTGGTATTGCTACGGTTGCCCAAGTCATAAGCACAACCAATACATCCAATATAAAATAATTGATTTCTTGTCCTAGTGTTCCACTCACGACCAACTGTATCAAAGGATCTAACAAAGATCCTGCATATGGCTTGAAAATCTGTAACACAAAGAAAGTTATCAATCATCAATATTTATTAATGCAAAGTCTCACTGTGACACATTCATCAAGGATGTATAATAGTGGCCATCACCGAATAATTTTATTCCTCAAAACACATCAGTAGAATCTTTGACTCTACCTGGATTGATGTACATTAACAAAATCAGAACAGGTTTCAATCCTAACTTCTGTAACATTATATTTACAAATGTAAATTATGAGAAATAATTAGGATGGAAATATACTTGTTCTTAAATCACTCCTCATATCAATAAAATATCTTCTTTAAGCCAAAAGTTCCTGTATTGCAGATAACACGTTGCTACACAGCTTCTATCATGACACCTAAAGTTTCATTAAAAGCTAATTTACATCTATGTGGAAAGCTAACTCATGCTGCTCTGGAGAGCTAACATACTACTCTGTAACTAAATCACTTCTCTGTAAAGCTAACAGTTTCATTAAAAGCTAATTTACATCTATGTGGAAAGCTAACTCATGCTGCTCTGGAGAGCTAACATACTACTCTGTAACTAAATCACTTCTCTGTAAAGCTAAAACACTACTCTGTAAAGCTAACACTCTACTCTGTAAAGCTAACACACAACTCTGTAAAGCTAACACTCTACTCTGTAAAGCTAACACTACTCTGTAAAGCTAACACTCTACTCTGTAAAGCTAACACTCTACTTCTGTAAAGCTAACACTCTACTCTGTAAAGCTAACACTCTATTCTGTAAAGCTAACACTTTATTCTGTAAAGCTAACGCATGATTCTGTAAAGCTAACACTCTACTCTGTAAAAGCTAACACTACTCTGTAAAAGCTAAACTCTCTATTCTGTAAAGCTAACACTCTATTCTGTAAAGCTAAACACTCTA